AGCCGGGGTACACTGAGGAGACAATTCCAGTATGGAGAGGTGGTATAAGCTTAAAAGAAGTAAGTGCAGATAATGTCTGAAACCCAAATTGGATTGAATCATGTCTCCTTAGGAGCCAGCCAGAATGCCAACTCACCCCCTTGCATGTAATTTTAGTCTTAAAAGATGAAGTTACTGATCCGATTGGAGTCCTTGCCGCCTCCTGAGAGAGGTGCTCCTGTAGAGTAAGCCGTACTCTAATCAGCCCCTTTCTCGTGGAGGGTTCTTCCCGCCATTGCTTGGCTTGGATCTCTGGAATTAGTTTGTTATTGGGTATATTGTTTTTAAATTGTTTATATAGGTTTCAAGCTGGTGGCTACTTAAAGCTGGAAAAATCAGACTGCGCCAAGTCCGATATCACATCTTCACCCACCATCCCCTCCCTCACGTGCCATGTGGTGAGAATACCAGTTACCTCACAGTCTTGTAAATATGCACTGAGAGGAAGGAGCGAGCAGACGTTAACTTAAACTGAAATGGTAGATCAGTAATTGTGGACAAATATTATCATTGACAACGGAGAAGCACCCTTGTTACAGCCCTGCTACCCCTTGCTGTGTATATATACTTTGTCCTTCATATGTGAAAGATCCAGTGTTGGAATTCTTTGGTGTAAATAAACATTTGGTTTTATTTATCGAGGTTAGATTTCAGTTCCCTGTGTAGAGGCCTCCCTGGGGCGGTGGTACACTTCGACACAGGAGTGACCGACAGCCCCGTCCGTACTGGGGAGGCCGTGTCCCCCTTCACACGCACCTTGCATGGTCAGCAGGGCGGAGGAGCCTTACACAAACGTCGCAAGCCAAAGTACCTCCTGGGAGAAGGACCTTTCGCCATAAAACCAAAAAACCCTCCTCTTCTGTCTCAGCCCTGACGGATGGGGAGCTGAGATGCTGAACCAATTCTTAGTTTTTTGCGTGGATTTCAGTGACTTGTTTTCGGTCACGTGAGGCTTGTGGTGCTCAGCCGGAGCGGCTGTAAGCACAGGAGCACCCGTCCCTCTCGGTGACCTCCTGTCCTAAAGCCGTCGCAGCAGTTGCTTGTCCTGGGCATTGAGTGCTCCTCCTGTTCCTCAGCAAGCGCTGAAGCCTCGGCCTTCGGCTCCTGCTTGTCCCCTGAGCGCCCGTCCCTCGTTTGTTCTTTGGGGGGGTGATGGCCACGTACTTCCATGTTACCTCAGTTACTTTTGCAAGGTAGGGTGGAGCACGTGGGCTGGGTTAAACCGACTGACGGGGAACGGGGCAGGAGGGCATGAAGCACGGCCCCTTTCCGTGAGGATCACTGGCAGGGGAGATGAGGTTTTTCACGTGCGCCGGGGTGGCTTTCTCCTCCGTGACTTCATCCAGTGGGAATATATTGTACTTAATCTTTTATATATCCTCGAATGACGTGAAAGTCGGACCGTGTTGACCATTTTCCTTGATGTGCTGTGACGTGAAAGCACCCGGTATGACAAAAATACAGCTTGCGGTTGTTTGCGCTAGGTTGTGAGCCACGCGGGACGTTCAACCCGGTTCTTCCCCGGTACCTCCGGGGAGGGAGGTTTGCGGACGGCGGCGGGTGCTTGCTGCTCCCTCCGAGCTTCCAGAGGGAGGGAAGAGGGGGGCTGCCAGCGCCCCAACGGTCCCCGACGCCCGTCAGCCCTTGCACAGGGAAGCACGAAGAAGCCCGTGCGCGGAGGGACGTTTCTGGATGCGGCGTGCGCCGGTCCCCCGGCGCGGCCGGTGTCTCGCTGCTCCCGCTGGGGG